CTGCTGCATCTTTGTCCCATAGAGTGTGCTGTGGGTTTGCACAGACCTTGTGGTTAGCAACTAAGTATGTAGCCAGTGTGCCACCAGGGCTCATGATCAAGAAAAAGAAGAAAGTAATACGAGATTTGAGATGTGCTAATGTTTACTGTTGGTATAAAATATGAGCAATTTCAATAACTAAAGGCATTCAGATATTTTCATTTTCTGTATTAAAATTTAAAAACTCAAATATACTTTGAACACGCTGTTCAGGAGGGACCAGTCTTTGGAAAGGACATCATGCCTGGAAGGGTAGAGAGTCAGCAAAGGAGAGGGAGATCCTCAATGAGGTGAATTGACACCATGACTGCTAAAATGGACTTGAGTACAAAAATATTGTAAATATTGAGTGCAAAGTTGGATTTAGATCAGTTGTGCATGAGTCAGTATGAATTCACTCAGTGGCACCTAGTAGCATGTCAATATTTGAGATAACTGCAAAGCTGTATATGGCCAACTGGGTAAAGAGCTCGACTGCCAGCCCCAAACCAACTGATTTGAATCCACCAGCTGCTCCATGGGAGAAAGAAGACGAAGCTCTACCCATGCGATTTACTGCCTCCCAAAACCTGCTGGACGGTCAGCTGTGCATCAGTTCTGACTCAACTGGTAATCAAGAATATGTACATAATATTCAACTGATGCCAATGAATGTGGAAAAAAGTCAGGGACATAGTTAACCAGGAAGACATTTGGTCTTATTTACATTTTTATACTTGTCTATCACTTACGAGTTAGACTACTCCCTCCTCTCTTCCTCCTTTCAGTGTTAAGTAAGGTGCATGTTTGTCTTTGAGTATGTGTTGGAATTACTTAAGGTGTGTCAGCAAATAGTTGCAGTTGGGTCTGGCAACCTTACATGTGTCAGAGGAGGATTTTCCTTTCTTTATTATTTCTTTTTCTCCCCATAAGATTTTGAAAAACTGATTCTTTGGAAATTAGATTGCCAGGCCTTTCTTCTGCAAGCTTCTGGACATGTCCAGACCTTTTAGTTAACAGCCAAATGTGTTTTGCAGTATGCAGGTGTTCCAACTAATAGTTCTACGTGTAGGTTTCTATGTAGGTCATATTTGCCGTTTTTGTCAAAAATTTTAATATGTATTCTATATTGTTTTGTTTTTAACCTTCTGTGTTGAGATTTGCTCCTGCATGTGGTAATCACCTAAGCTATTTGTGAGCTTCACGAGAAATTTTGTTACTGTGCTTGTTGCTTCTCTACCTTTAAACCAGCCTCCTGATTTTAGAATGCCAGTATTTCATTATATTTGGAAAATTCCAATTAATGCTTTCTTATTTCTTAATAGAAGGAAGTGATTCATGTCAGAGTTACTGCTTCCATTTTAAAAGTAGGGGCCACAGGCAAATTATGCGGGGTTTTTATGTGGTTCAGATTTTATAACTTAAATATTGGTCTGCATATTAATAATTTTCACAGCATATGGAGAGAGACAGTCAGGCACAGAAGATATTAGATGTGCCCACGTTCTCATGGAGGGAACTGGACATAAACTCTGTGCTTGGTTGATCATTGAGCAAACTCTGGAAGTTTTAGGGAGAAGCTCCACGTTCAGTTTGCTGGTATATGATTTTAGCTAGAAAATGATTGTGTTCCTGTTCTGCATTGATTATTGTTGTAGAGATTTGAAGATAGTATGCATTTTGGAAAAGGGATCTTTTTCCTTCTAATTAGTTGGTACGGATAAGCTGTTGATTTTTGCATTGAAAAGGTGAAGAAAATGAGATTCTGACAGCACCTGTAACTAGTTTTATAGAAACTGAAAGCTGAGAAAATTCTCATCAGGGTAGTGTTTCTGTGAAGTGGCAGCCGGAACTCTGTTAGAAAAATGTAGTAGTAACTCACACTTCACTGCACATAGAGTCCTTTCCCTTAGGGAAGACTCTCTGGTGTCACAGACTGTATGACTCACGAGTGTTGTACTGTTGTGACATAATAAACAAGTACAGGTGGAAGAACGACACATCTGTGCAGAGAGCTACTTCACTTTTCATTATAAAAAGAGATACACCATGGAGCTATTACATTTTCAAGTGGAATTTCTAAGTAGTCCGTTTTCTCTTACTTGAAATCCAGCCATGGAGGTGTTGAGATCTTTAAGAGCCAAATACAAGGAAAAGAGAGTTGCTTTATCCATTTCTGCTGAATTGACTCATCATGACCTTGGACGTGCAGAGCAGAACTTGGTTTTCAAAGCTTTAACTGAGCTTCCAGGTGTCTGGATGGATTTGAACCAACCTCTTAGATTACCCCGTTTTGCCTCTCAGAGACAGAGGCATTGTCTTGAAGACGGTCTCAAATCCTAAGCCAGCATTCGGATTTAGGAACCACATTCTGTGTTCTCATCAGGGTCTTGGAGTAAAAGCTGGAGTTGCAAGTTCACACCTTGAAAGAAACATTTGACTAGTGAATAATTAGCCTGTGAAATATGTGAGCCAGAATCTACTCCACAGCGACTTGGTATTATTGCACTTACCACACTGCTCTGTGATTGGTACTTTTTATTCCAAATTATCCTAGACCTGGTGCTACAGGGAAGTGAATGAGACTCTCAGGAATCAAGATAAATACTATATGAAAAGTTCAAATTTGATACAAAATATTCATAATGAATAAAATATAAGTGTTTTCTATAAGAACAAGATCCTACTCAGCTGCCACTGGAATTGATAAGCTGGATTCCCTGAATTGGTTAATGGAAATCCTGAAGTTGGTCTTTTGCCCTGAAACTGACAATACAAGGGCACAGCTTCCTCTACTGGCTTCTCAGATAAACTCTGTGAACTTTGATAAATGATGATAGTTATAGAAAAGCTTCAGGCTTTTGTTTATAGGGTCACTATGAGTCGTGCTCAACTTGACAGCAATTATCAACAACTATATCTACCTACCTACCTATATATACACACACACACATATATATATATTACTTATTTGCTTACAAAATTTGTATATATTGTGTTTCACACTATTCTTCATTCACACAGGGCTTCATACTGTCATTCTCATGCATTATGTTGTATAAAATTAGCCACCACTGGACCTTGCCCATCAATCCTGGTGAAAAGTTAGGATCCCCCCACCCCCAATCCCATTAGTCTCATGCCTAGAGGTGGAAATGTCCTCTCCTTGTTCCCATTTTCCCTTTCAAACATTATTCTTTCTCCTTAAGGTACTTGTTTCCACCGCTGTGAGTGTTGCTCACCGACTTCCTCCCTGCTCCCAGCTCATGACCACCATATGTGCAGTAGAGCAAAATGCTGCCCAGCCCTACACCTTTCCTATGATGGTGGGTTGTGGGCCAGACTGTTGAGGTCCATTGAGTTTCACTGGATGATGTTCCCAAGGAAATTGCCAGGCCTTTCTTCCTAATTCATCTTTGTCTAGAAGCTCTTCTAAAACCTTTTTAACCTCTTAGCACCCTGCAGACGTACACTGAAGGGCAGGAGATGCTGCTGATGTCTCCCATTGAAGGAGAGGATTATGCCACTGAAACCTCACTGCCCCTAGAAGTGATGGGCACAGCCTCGGGCTAGATAACCCAGCCATCTCCCTCTTGGCATTGGATACTTCTCTCTGATTTATGAGCATTCCCCCTGAATAATTGGAGTGTTTTAGCTTTTGATTCAGTCCTCTCTGATAAAACTCAGTTCCTTTATGAGCATCAGTCATTCACTCTGATACTCATATCATGCAATTACTAATCATTGCAGCTTCTCCAAAACCTTACTATCTAATTCTTCACTTCCTCTAGTATCTCTCTTCCAGAACTTCTTTGGCCCCTACGCACACAGTCTCAGATCTCACTGACCCTGCACGCTTTCAATGCTCACTGCTTTCACCTTCATGCTTTCCTCCAATTTAACCATTTCATAGCCCATCATGGTAACTACTTCCTTGCTTATCATCCTCAATTCTTTTTGCTTCTCTGTCTTCATTGTGTTTATTGGGTAATATGTCAACTGCTGTGAAAGGAGAGATTTAAGGAAGGAAGATACCATTTTGGAATCAAACTTTGGTATTTTTCTTTTAAATCTTTACTCACTATTGTTAATAAATAGGAAGTGTTTAGTATCTCACTCTTGTATTTTATTTTAATTTTTCCCACCTATTTCCTTAAGAGTAGCCACAGCAAAAGTCACATCAGTTCAGCAGTTCCGTGTGTCCAATTCAATGACGTTGATTACATTCTGGGTTGTGCAACCTCTCTCACCCTCCTCCTTTTTTGAATTATTCCTTCCTAGTAAAGATAAACCCTACCCCCTGACAAATCCTATATAATCTTTGTATCTCCAAAGATTACTGCTTTGATCACATATAGATAATTTTTATAACAACATAATGCTCAAGGTATTTTTACTCATCAGACTAAACTTGTTTGGTTTAGAAAGACTTCAGAGGCTGTTTTGTTACTTGCATCATTCTGTTTCACTGAATTTTATTTAGCTTTCTCAAAATTGGGGCCAGCTTAACTGTGGCAACTGTTGTTATGTGTCCTTGAGTTGAGTACAACTTTTTTTTTTAAGTTTTTAAAAATTTTTATTATTTTTGTGTGTGTACCGTCAAATCGGATCTGACTGGTACAGAAGGAGATTGTCCCTCCATCTCCAGTGGCACATCTGGTGGATTTGAACCGTTCACCTGTGGGGTTGCAGTGTACCTTCTTGCTGCTAGGCCACCAGAGTTTGCCCAGTTGAGTATGACTTTTAACAACCTTTTGAACAACAGATCTGAATCCTGTCCTATCCTACACCATCCTCATCATCTCTGACACATCTCTTTGATGCCCAAAGGAAAATAAAGCTTCATTCTTTAGCATCTGAGGATCAGCACTCTGGCTGCACCTTCTTCCACACATAACCTGCATAATGCAGGAAACGAACCAATTTTGTATACTAACACTTGTCACAACTAAAGATTTACTCTCTTTTTTGTGCTCCTCCAGGTCTACCCTGAGCTGCAAATCACCAATGTGGTGGAAGCCAATCAACCCGTGACCATCCAGAACTGGTGCAAGAGGGGCCGCAAGCAGTGCAAGACCCATGCCCGCATTGTGATTCCCTACCGCTGCCTTGGTGAGCTGATGCTGCAGGGCCAGTGTGGGTTGGACAGCTTTGGGGGCATGAAAAGGAGGAAATGATTATTAGTTCAGATATCCAGTCTTTTTCTTCATATTGGACTGCGAATGCTGGACTCTGCTCTGACAGGGTAAGAGCAGTGTTTCTTAGCTTCAAGGATGATTATTAATATTATAGATTTCTTGTCCAGTCTCAGAATTTCTGAACCAAAATTTTTAGCAGTGAGTCTCAGGAATCCTAGTTTTACCAGCTTACCTAAATGGCATATTCAGTGGCTGAAATGAAGGAATTGAGACTTAATGTGTTTCTTCCTAGAGATGTCGTAGAAGAATCGACTTAAAATGAAAGACTAGTATTTTTCCAATTAAAAAAATAAAAAGCCTTCTGTAACAAATCACTATTCTTATTTGGTGACAATTGGGAGAATTAGAAGTGGGGATTTTTTTTTTTAATACTGACTTCAAATTGTGCATTTTATTTTTAGAAATTGAGTAGTTTTATGTGGCGTTTTGGGAGTGTACTGAATATTACATAGACTGCCAAAAGAGCAAATAGATATGTCTTGGAGAAAGTACAGCCAGAGTGCTCCTTGGAGGCAAAGATGACAGAGCTTCGTCTCACATACTTCAGGCATGTTCTTAGGAGAGGCTGTCCTTGAAAAAGGACACCATGCTTGGAAAGGTGGAGGGTCAGTGAAAGAGGAAGATCCTCAACCAGGTAGATTGACACAGTGACTGCTGCAGTGGCCTCAAAGATGTCAGAAATAATTAGGAAAGTACAGGTTAGGACAGGGTTCAGATCTGCCGTTCATAGGCCACTATGAGCATTGAACTCTCTCATTGTTTTTTTTTTTTTAAGTACTTCACTGGATGGTACTTAAAACAACAATATATGCATTTTACTTTTCTCCTGGAAACACTGTCATAATCCATATTATTTAATCTAATTTGGTTGAGTTTTAGTCCCTTCTTGGTTACTGTTTTCATGCAAGTAGTTAGTGCAGAAATTAAAAATCTTTGATCTGATAACTATATATAAGTCTTTAAATAAAGACAAAGAAATTCACATATTAATGCATTTGTGTTAATAAGCCTTTTGGCAACTTACTACACAGACGAAAATGCATCATTATTTTAAGTCTTAAAAGAAAGAGAGGATAACGTGAAGATTCTAGGTATCAGGATAATTGTTTGGTACTGATGAGTAGATTTTGACTTCTGATGATGCGTGTGACAGAGTAGAGCTATCCTATAGGGCTTTGTAAGCTGTAATCTTTATCAGAGCTAAATACTGAGGTAACTGCCCCCCTTTTCCCCTCCCCATAAACACTGAATGAGTTTGAACCAAGTTTTTTGTTGACGGTGGAGCACTTCACCTTTATACTAATAGGGACAACATCACTGTAGTATTTTGTTGTTGTTGTTAGGTACCATGGACTCAGTTTGACTCATAGCAACCCTATGTACAAATATATAATCATTGAGCAATAAAATATTCGTCGTACTAAGGCATAATTTAAAAAGAGCAAAAATCATTAAGTTTAAAAGTGACAATTAGTTTGGTGGATTTATTTACTCAGAATATTACAAATGAGGAAGGACTGGAAAACATGATACTTAAGCTTTTTCTATTTCAGAAATTTCCTTGTTCTTCCATACTTTTCCCCTAAATTCTTTACAGATTCTCTCATCATTTTCTCTCCTACTGTTCAAGAACTGAAGATTTAATAAGATAAAAAAAAATCAGTAACATTTAAATGTTAGATCCACAACGCCTATATCAAGAAGGTACAGAGTCTGCGTGTTGCAAGAAATTAAATATTTCAAATTCATTTTGCTCTTATGCCAGACTAGTGCACATAGAACGTATAAAACAACCTCTGTTCCCTCCATCGATTGTAATTAAGTGAATTACAACTTGTAGTTATCCTATAGGGAGTTCTGGTGGCTTAGTGGTAAGGAATTTGCTGCCATCGCAAAGGTGTGTGATTCAAAGCCATAAGCTGCTCTGAGGGAGAAAAGAGAGCAGTCTCCTGCCATGTGATTTATTGCTACTGAAAACCTGCTGGAGGATCAGCTATGAATCAGTTCAGACTCAACATTATACAACAGTCGTTATGATCATAGAGGAAAGGGTGAGCTGCTCAATAGGATTTTAGGAACTGTAAGCTTTGTGAAGCACTCCCTTACTTTTCTCCCTCAGAGTGGCTGGTGAGTTTGGATTATCACCCCCTCAGTTACCAGTCAAGTGCTTAACCATTCATTATAAGTCAGTACAAATGGGGAAGCAAAACACAATCAGGTAGCTATGCAGGCCTTTTTAATATTTTCTTCTTTTGATTTTTCACCTGTTCTGTGGAATTTTTAAACATAATTTTAGTGAGGGCAACTAATAAAAACTCATTATGACTTATAACATGGAACTTCAGTTATATTTCATAAGTGCATTGTTGATTGAATATGATTGAATTATCCCTTTCTGAATCCTTGTCATATATACTCTATATAAATTAAAATATAATAACACAATTGAGAAGATAAGGTGTTTGTGAAACTTTTGGCACACATCCCAATTCTAGTATTGTGTCTAAATTAGCATACTATCCTACCTTTTCTTGAGTACTGATAAGCGAGAAATTCATTGCATTTTATTTTTTCAGTAGGTACCTGGTGTGCTTGAATCTTTTATTATGTTTTCCTATTTTTTATTCATTTGTCTCTGCATTATGCTTAACATTGGATACTAACATGACAAATGAATATATGTTGTCTTTTACCATGTTAAGATGTCTGGTTCAGAATTAAGGCATGTGCAAGTACTGCTTGATTTTTAGATGGTAGCAAATTTTTCAAAAATCGCAAATCAAAGATACTGTCCATGGGATATACAACAACCCTAGTTGGGGGGAAAATTATTTTTGTTGTTATGTACCACCGAGTTGGAATTGACGCATAGCTGACCCTCAGGGGCAGTAAATTGCATGGAAGGATATGGCTCCTCTTTCCTCTGCTTGAGCAGCTGGTAGATTAGAATCACGTGCCTTTGCGTTGGCAGAGCAGCTCCTTACCACTAGGCCACCAGACCATCCTTGTGCGTGTATATTTGTGTGTGTGTGTGTGTGTGTAATTCACCTTCTATTTTTGAAAAAAATAGCTACAAATGTAGTTGAAAAACACATTTGCCTTCTCTTGCATACTGATGGTTAAAATAAAATTAATTCTAATCATCATTGTGCATAGAATTATGTCATTAGTTTATCATTGGTTTTTGGGTTTTCCCCTCCTTTCCCCTTCTACTATCTATCTCCCTTCTTTCCTCCTTTTTCCTCACCTCTCTAGAGTTCTTAGTCTTTTTATCCGTGGTGGTATCAAGCCCTTTATATTGGCACAGGGCTTCTACTGAAATACTTCCTCCACAAGGCAGACAGTGCTGGGTTTGTTAGTCCCCAGTAACAGGTGGAAGTACTAGAGTGGTGGTGGCTTTCTGTAGCTCACAAAACTTATAAGTAGTAAAAAAAAAAACCAAAAACCAAACAAACAAGAGTTATATCATTATGATTCTTCATCCAGGGTTCTTTGCAGTATTAATGTTAAATTCTTCTTGAAAAACATGCCTTTCTGATTCACACAATTAAATTTTATAGGCAAAGGCTTTAAGTTAGAAGGGATAAATAATATTTGAAACTCTTGTATTGATAAAAGTTTTCAGGATAAATCTCTGTGTGTGTTGTATTTTAGAGGAGTAATAATAAAACTGCTGTAAAACTTGGTAAAATTCTAACAGTTGTCAGGTTTGTGCAAAGGCTGCCTCTTAAGTTCAGGTAAAGTCTTAGATAACATTTTTGCATATTGTCTTGCTGCTTGAACAAAGAATTTCTGTTTACATCTAAACTCTCCCTGTGAATCCAAATATATCCTTTAGGCAAAAAGACATTACTCTAGAGAATTCTTATAAAGACACCAAATTGAAAACAGAATAAAATTGTCTAAAGCATCAAGTATATTAAAATTCAAAACAAAACTCCAAGGGGGAGAAATGCCAGTTATGTCTGGCATGTGACACTCCTGACCTCTCCATCTGATTTAGAATGCAGTGCTACTCTGAGTTAATTTTCTCTAAACCCTGCCTTTGCCTTGGGCATCCTTGCTCAGCTGGCTCTCCTGTTTCCTGTCTAGATGGGGAAAGTATATGAAGTTGCGGTTGCCACTTTCTTGACCATGGAGTCGATGATTTCCCTGGAGGGCTAGGCAGCTTTCTCATTTCACCCCTTGCTTTTGGTTATGCTTCTGGAACCAGAGCATAGGTTCTGTGTTAATCACATGAATGTTTTATTAATTATTTCATGTGGGACTCAAGCACATCATTACTCAGAGAGACTGTTTTCTTTGAAGTTTAGTTAGCTTCTTTTCATTTGCATGAACCCACTTCAGAGTGTCATAGATTCTGTTGAAACTGACTTTCTTCTCTTGTCTCTCTGAGAAAGCCATCATATAAATGCCTGTTAATTAGTGGGAACAAAGGCAGGTGTATAGCTTAATTCAAAAGTGGAATTAGAAGTTAAAGAATTACTCTTTAAATATCTGTTTATCTTTTGATATTTAAGGTTCTTCAAAGGTCAAAGTATTGATGACCAGGAATCGTAAGATAAGGCCAAATGAGATACTGAAGACATTAGCACCTTGTTTTAATTTTTTACTTTCATTCTCTTAAGGAAATTTTAGTACATACAAGCCATGTTTTCTAGCTTGCAGCTTTTCTGTGGACTGTCTGTAATAATCTTCATTTTCTTAATTGTCAATAGGATATATTTGAGCTGTGTTCTGATATTGTTGTTGTTATGTGCTGTCGAGTCACTTGTGACTCATAGCAACCGTATGTACAACAGCCCTAAACCCTGCTGTGTCCTGTTCCAATCTCAGGATCTCTGACACACTCATCCCTATTGCCCCAGTCACTGAATCAATCCACCTCATAGAGGGCCTTCCCCTCTTGTACTG